AAAGGCGCCTAGTGGATGCAAAACTAATAGTACCACTTGGTTCATATTTACTGGAAACTGTTTGCACTGGAAATCCAACTTGTGAACGCCCGAGGTAACTGTGCAAGTACAATATTTGCATTTGCCTAAGGAAATGAACTAAAAATACAATATCTACTGCGCCGTATAGCAGCTCATGGTTTAATATCAATGTGCTCCACATTGCTGTCAATAATACCGTTATTATTTGTACAGCACCAACGCAGTGACCTCAAAGGATACAGGGAACGCTCCCAGATTTTAATTCTCCAACCATCCCCCTGAGGAACGCAAGTGTTGAGAGAACTGACACGCAACAGGATGATTCCAAACATGGGAGCAGTTCGTGTGCTCACACCCATCACAGTGAAGAGCTGGCATTTCACTCTCGGTGCGGAAATTCCATCTAGGCAAATTCTAGCATGTTAATGGCTTTTTCTCTCTTGAAAAAAATAAGATGTATTTGGAATTAGATTGGCACCCAAACGTCTTGGTGTCCCACTCCATTTTTTTCCATGCCCTGGGGACTTTTGAAAATTATAGGATTTAACGGTACAACAAGATGGTGAGTTTAGAAGGGGAGGCTGTCGAGCAGGAAAAGATCTTAATGCCACCAACCTCTTACCCTACTGAAATACCTCCTCCCCCAGATTCCTAGGAATGGTATCGTCCAGACTCAACTCACAGACTGCAGCACCTGAAGAACCCTGCTCCTTTTCTTTAATAGGACCAAATTCTGGAGGAAGAGTCCAGTACTCCAAAATCCACCACCCATGTGCATTCTGAATGTTCACGGAGAAAACGAACGCTTCACAAATGATTCTCTTCCAGATGTAACATTCTATGACTCATCCGTAAGTTCTGCTCTGGGTACCAAAGGGGAGTGCCTGTTTCTAAAGAGTTAATGCAAATACTACACCCCCCTAGTTTTCTTCAAGGAGGAACTCAAGCTCTGGCTCGTTACCTTTTGCCCTGTCCTCCAAGGATTCAGAACCACATGACCACAGCAGCCTCTGCATAAGCAATCTTAAAAGTAACTCTAGACTATTATCATGCTACTCCATGCACTTCTCTTCTCAGTCTTAGCCCCTTTCCTCATAAATCATCAGGCATTTCCTAACACTCTCGCTCGATTTGCTCACCTTACTTCTTTGCCTAGTGTGCTCACATCCTTCTTAAACTCAGAAGCCAAGGTTGGCTCTGCCATTAGTGGCCAAGAGAAATGCAATGCTTCTTAGAAATATCACTCAATGTTTTCGGGCCTCTGGGTAAATCAACACACACCAGTCCCCATCCTGACTCCCATACACTAAACCCTGCTAGGAATTAACCAACTGTTAAAGTCCAGCACAAAGGGCATCTCCTCCATTAAACCCTTGCTGATTTCTTCACTCACATTATTTTTTTTTTCATCACCTTCTCATAGTAGATATGTGTGTCTCCTTTGGAGAATTGCCACTGTTTACATTATGATTATACCGACACCTATTTACCTGTGAGTTCCCTGTTGATGGAAACCGGGATTCATTTACATGTCTTCCACAGCAAGTTTTCAGATATTATTTTTACCAGGATCCAGAATAAGAAACGCATTTTACACCGAGATCCAACACATACATAAGTACATGCACACGCACACACATACACGCACAAAACCAAAACAAGTTTTCCCAAACAATACTTCCTTTAACTACATGCGAAGTTTTTATTGTTGCTGGTCGTATGACAACCTACTAATCTGATTCAGGACCTGCTACCGGTTGTGACCCACTTGGTAACACTCTCGGTAGCACATGGTACTGGGTTTTTTACAGTGTCAATAAATGATAAATGAATGAAAGAGCCAGCCAACAAAAACAGACATGCTTTTTCACAACCATATTTGGCAACTATAGTTCTCTTTGCCCCCTTAATAAAAAGATCCTTGTAAAATTCTGGACAAAAGTAATATCCTCTTTACAGGTTGAGCACTGAGAGCTAGTTTTGCCATATCCAGATCAGGTCACATTCATTTTTTTGGTTCTAAAAAATTCACCTATATTTGCCTTCTCATTCTCCAGTCAGTATACAATGACAGAGTTCACTTTAAACCTCATTTTTAAACCAAGTATACATATCTACTGTTTTCAACCGTGGTCTATGTCTTACACAGGGCAGGTGATTGATCAAATTCCACCAACTGAAATCTCATAAATGATATCAATTACTTCACCAATCAGGAAATCAAGGATTTGAGCACTTTTCCTCTGAATGTGTTTCATTCATTCCAAACATTCACTGAGCCTTATTATCAGAAACGTTTAAAACCTGGTCTTTGGCTTCAAGAAAATCACATTTTTCTGAGTGTATAGATCCCATTTCACGTGAACCATGTAAGCAGGCCAAGATATCAGGTCAATACCTCCTTTTTCTTTCCACGTCGTACTTAATACCAGTAGTACTTTGCTGGTGTCCAAATGTTATTATTAATAATGGTCTTGAAATTTCATCAGGCCCTCAACTAAGAATGTTTCTATATAAACTGCCTGAAACCATACAGCTTGACGAAGTGGCACCTATGTTACCCATTAAACTGTCTTCAACTCTAATTGTCTGTCCTCTGGAACTAGAATCCCGTTCTTGCTCAGCTCTTGTAAAGACGAATGTAAAAACAGGGTATTAAGAATTGGTGTCCTCTCACTTGTATAAAGGATACTTCTCCAAATGCTCAGTCCTAACAGAGGTTGTTTTTCCATGAAGACCTTGTGAATACCTTCTAGAACATAAGATAAGCGGTTAGCTCATCCCTGTGTATAATGCCTAAAACTAGAGTTGTTTTCAAATAACACAAACATTTTATAGCCAAATTATTTCCAGGTAGGAAAACTTTAGCAATTAGTTTATCTCCAGTTACCAATTTCAAGGGCCTGCAACAGAAGAATCTTTGAAAATAATAAAGTCTTGAAATATATCAAAGAGACATATTGGTTTTCCATTGAGAAAAGTTACAGAGAAATACTATAGCCCACAGTTCTCAAATATTATTAACTGAAAATGTCAGTGGCTTTAGGCTTCTATTTTGAGCTCCTGCTTATTATCCACAGCATCACAGGGAAGTTAAGAGCACAGGCTGTGGAGCCAGACTACCTGGGCTGATACTCTGCCTGCCACACGCTGGCTGCGTAACTCTGGACAAGTTACTCAGCCTTTCTGTGCCCCATTTCCTCCTGTGGACAGTGGGGATGGCAATATTGCTTGCTTTAAGTAATGTGATGATTATTAATTAAATATGCATAAAATATGTAAAACAATGCCTGGAATATTCTAAGCACTCAATAAAAGGTAGACATTATTCCAGTACCCTGCCCTCAACTGTACTATATAAAGTGGAATTCTATACCTTATATTCTATACCATACACACACACACACACACACACACACACACACACACACACCTTATATACTCTATATACCTTATACTATATAAGGTAGAATTCCATGAAATGGGAAGAATGTGGTATGCTGGAAAGAATATGGCATTTTTAGTTAAAATGTGAGTTAGGACCTCCACAGTTCCACCTGCTATACTTGTTGAGTTGAGAGTTACTTAACCTGAGTGCCATCTCCTAATCTGTAGAATGCTAAGAAACAGAAGTACCCATATGTAACACACTCAAAGGAAATCAAAATAACTTTCACCTAAGGAAGCAGAGGAGGTTCGATAGAGAAGGTACTATTCTGATAAAGATTGTAGAATAGACACGTGGAAGTAGAAACATTGAAAAGTGAAATACTAGACAGAATCATTTGGTTGAAGACACACAAAGGAAAGCATGGCGTGTTTCCGAGAATAGCACATGGTCCAATCTGGCCAGTGCAAAGGGTATAAAGGGAAGTCACTGGTGCTGCTGAGGTTAAACAATCAAATTCAATCAGCACGGGATCACAGATTCCTTATTGGACTGGAACTTTTCCCACAGGTACTGTGTATATGGTAAAGACTGCAAGAGGCCATTAACATAATCACGTTGGGGAGCCTGGGTGGCTCAGTTGGTTAAGCATCCAACTTCAGCCCAGGTTTTGATCTCATGGTTGGTGAGTTCGAGCCCTGCGTCGGGCTCTGTGATGACAGCTCAGAGTCTGAAGTCTGTGTCAAATTCTGTGTCTTCCTCTCTCTCTTTGCCCCTCTCCCACTCATGCTCTGTCTCTCTGTGTCTCAAAAATAAATAAATGTTAAAAAAAATTTAAAAAAAAGCAGGATCAGGTCAATATTGTAGAAGAAACTGAGTGTAAGGTGCAGAGTGAATGGAAGCCCAGGGCCTGGAAATAGGGAGTTCTAGAGTTCTTTAAGGGTCTAAACAAAGCATTTGCCAAAGAATGGAGTGCAAAGATGCCATGGAATCATAGAAATGATGGGGACATAGAAAGGTGGATCTCAACACCTGAGTCAAAGAGAAATAATGTGGTTATGCAGCTTAGGAATAGAAGCCTGAGGAGGAGCAGATTTAAAAGAGATGAAATCAATCCAAAAGCGGTGGTCCACCTAAGGAGAGATCTTGAATAAACAGCTACAATCTACTTCCTGAAGGCCACCTTATAGCAATGAGAACCATGTTCATGTATGGCTATGTGAGCTGACATAACGTTCAAGGTGAATTAAGGGGTGAGACACTGGGTCGAGCTAAAGGCCTCTAATCAAGAAAGGAATCGGGTATGGGGGAATACTTGAAGAAAAGAGATGTAAGAAATAATATAATGCCAACAACATGTGACAAAATAGGGGTTCTTCACAGGACACAAACTAACTCCATCAAATAGATAAGACAAAAACCAAGCTGTGGTCTCTATCTCATGATATGATCCATTTGCATCATGGGTCAATTATGATGTCCACTTCATCTCTTAGAAAATCAAGCAAGGGCCACTAAAAAAAAATCTCCCTTGACATCAGCCATTTTGTTCCCACAGACATTGAGGGCAGGGGGCAAAAGTAGAAGATACAAAACATTAAGTTATAAGTTTGGGAAATCAGGAGTGGGTGGAAATTTTCCAAGGTTCTTTTCTTATTTGTTGTTTTCCCTTTTCATCACATGTCAACTCAAAAAAAAAAAAAAAAAGGGAAAAAGAGAGAAGACTTCATCATCAGTGGACAAAAGAAAAATAAACTCAAACAGCTGTTAAGTATTTTGTCTGATAATATTGAGCAAGCAGACAATAGCCTGACTTTGTCATGTAGCAAGTGTGGTCCTTCTGAGGAAAGGAAGAAACAAGAGGTGTGGAAATCAGTCAACTAAAGGAGGTCAGATCGCAAAGGCTAACTCGTCTTACAGCCATCCCACACAAACAGACCTTGTTCCCTTGAAGACCATGTAAAGGATTGGTGGGTTAACGGCAAAAGAAGAACAATAAGAAGTGACGTTTGCTGGTAATGGCAAGGAAACTTAACTAGTGTCAAGGATACATCTGTTCCTGAGGGGAAGACTCAAAATCCTACTCCTGGTTTCGCAGGCCTCTGCTGAAGAGCGCCCGAGACAAAGTACCATCTGCTGGTAAAGGTAAAGAAAAGGTTAAGATAGATCTGAAATCAGATTATTAAAAAGGAAAAAAAAAAAACCAAAAACAAAAAACAAACAAACAAACACAAAACACTGGAAGACAGCCTGGTTGAATTAAAGAAAACCCAAGGGAGATGACAGCATGGGAGAGATCTGTGGCCTCCACCTTCCTAGCTTCATCTCATCACTCACCCCCTAGGCCATTCAGGACGATACTAAGCACTCAGTAAAAACATGTTAAGTAAATGAGTAAAAGCCGTTCAAAACAACACTGGTCTTTCCATTTCTTGAAGACCTCAGGTCCCTTCCTGCCTCTGGGTCCCTGCATAGATTATTCTGTCTGAATTTTCCTCCCCTCCACTTGACCTTACCCTGCAAATTCCCTGACCTGCAGCATCCCTATATAATTGTATCAAATAAATATAAATAGATGAGCCATGCCGATTATACACCACAGCTGCTTCTACTTCTCCCGAGTAGCACTCGCCATGGTTACTAGTTTGCCGGAATACTTGACTAACTACTACCCACCCCCCACAACTAGATTAGCAGTTCCAAGACACCAAGGCCATGTCTACTTTCTCAAAACTGTGTGCCTGAGTACCTAGAAAGTTCCCAGGATCTGACTGTCATTCAATAAATATTGAAAAAAAAAGGAAGGAAGGAAATAAGGACTCCTCGGCAACATCAGTAGAAGGGCCTACACTGATAAGACCACTGTTTCAGAGAATCTGTTCCCGCCCACAAAGCCTGATGAGTAGGAAATATGCCTTTCTATAACCACAATCTTAGAGATCTATTTGACCAGAAATGAACCCTTCACCATTATAAAACAAATCACTTTTCTCCCTAGTAGTTTTGAGAGACTGAGTCAGCTTACCATGTATGGAACCGAAGCAGAAACTGGGAGCTTCTGCCCTACACTCATCATAGTATCAAAAAAATATAAAGGCACGTGATGTACCATGTGCTGCGAACTGCATACAGAAAACAAGACTCCTAATGTTTTCCTGGGAAAATGGACCCTGGTGCCGCCATTATCAGAGAAAAAAAAAAAACTGGCAAAAACTAGTGAAATTGACCATAAAAATGTACTATGACCAAGCACCCTACCCCTAGGTACAAACTTTGAGCAAACTTTTGCCCATCCTTAAAAACACTTGCACAAAGTTGTTCCTCATAACCAACCAGGTCTGTGGGAGTAGGAAGTCGGAGGTAGCTTTAAGGTGTCTTACCAGGGAAATGAACCCATGAAATGCAATGAGTACACACTTTGGAATATTCTGCAGTGTCAGAAACAGTAAATTTCTAAATCCTTAGAAGACTGTGCTGATCATATTGACAAGTGCAAATTAATATAATTGTTAAAACCCATTAGCAATAATAAAGCACACTCGGTGGACAGAGCATTTATCAAAGATACTGTAGGGATCCTAACCATTATATGCTCACGGGGCATTATTTGTATATATGATTCAATCTATCTCACACATGCTTGACCAGTTTTGAAGTGTAGACAATTTTTCTCATCTGTAAATAGTAATAACAATAATAATAATAATAATAATAACACCAATATCTTAGAGCCATTCAAAGTAAACACACTAACCCATACAAATAATGCCTGATAAAACCTGAAACCTCGGGGCGCCTGGGTGGCGCAGTCGGTTAAGCATCCGACTTCAGCCAGGTCACGATCTCGCGGTCCGTGAGTTCGAGCCCCGCGTCGGGCTCTGGGCTGATGGCTCAGAGCCTGGAGCCTGTTTCCAATTCTGTGTCTCCCTCTCTCTCTGCCCCTCGCCCGTTCATGCTGTCTCTCTCTGTCCCAAAAATAAATAAACGTTGAAAAAAAAAATTTAAAAAAAAAAATAAAAAAAAAAAAATAAAACCTGAAACCTCAACAAATGTTTTCTATGTTATTATCACTAATAATACAAATATTGCTTAATTTGGGGACCAAAGCAAGACTATGTTGAGCCATAGTAACATCAACGAAAGACAAGAAATATGACCAGGTCCGTAATACAGTACCATAATCTACAGAAACAAGAGCAAAGTAAACAAGAGTAAGATGTGTAAAGTCAGGTTGCTTGGGTTTGAATCGTGGCCCAGCTACTAACTTGCCTGTTACGTGACTTTGGGACAGTTTGGGAAAGTTTCTTTCTCTGTGCCCACTTTTCTAATCTGTAAACCAGGTAAGGTAATAGCTCCTATCTCCCAGAGTTTGTTGTGACAATCACTGGGGTTAATACATTTAAAGGACTTGGAAGAGAGCTTGGCATGTGGGAAGCAGATGATAAGTGTTCGGCATTATTATTATGTAAATTAAAATACTGTGTATTTCTAAAGATTCATACATATATAATGACTATTCCAAACACATTAGAGCAAGAATCTACAAGGTGCAAGGGAAATTGGAATGAGGATGAATGACGAAGCAAGGGAAAAGAATGAAAGAAACATAAAAACAAAAACAAGAGAGGGGCACCTGGGTGGCTCAGTCGGTTGGGCAGCTTACTTCGGCTCAGGTCATGATCTCACAGTTCGTGAGTTCGGGCCCCACGTTGGGCTCTGTGTTGACAGCTCAGAGCCTGGAGCCTGCTTCAGATTCTGAGTCTCCCTCTCTCTGCCCCTCCCCTGCTCAGGCTCTTGTGTCTCTCTGTCTCTTAATAATAGATAAAAGTTAAAAAAAAATTTTTTTTAAATAAGAGAGAAGCTCTACAAGGACCAATAATGAAAATTTACCATCTTTGGAGGCCTATCATTCATTCAGTCTAATGGATGTGATGTCCATAATGAGGAAACATCAGAGGTGTCGAAGGAGTCATGCACAGGGATTTCAACAGAGTGAAAGTCTTGAAATTCTTGGTTCTAAGAAGCCCGGAGCTACTGTGGTTCCCAACTTCATGGCTTCCAATCTCTCTTGGATTTCTAATATACAGCACGCCACCTTCACTTGGCTAGTGTGAGTTAGTCTCTGTCTCCTGTTACCTTATACTATTTAACTAAGGAAGGTCCTCAGGAGGGAAAAAAGATCAGGCTTTCTCTGCACTAACTCAGAAGGCAAAAGATTTAAGAAGGCAGAATCCAATATCAGAAACATGTTTCAAAAACTTGGTTTACCCAGAGGTGCCTGGGTGGCTCAGTCCATTGAGTGTCCGACTTTGGCTCAGGTCATGATCTTACAGGTTGAGAGTTCAAGCCCTGCATCAGGTTTTGTGCTGATAGCAGGGAGACTGCTTCAGATTCTCTGTCTCCCTCTCTCTGCTCCGCACCCAACCCTACCCCCTCCTCATGCTCTCCATCTCTCTCTCTCTCTCTCTCTCTCTGTCTCTCAAAAATAAACATTAAGAAAAAAACTTGGTTTACCCAACAAATAAGCAGGCTCCAAGCATTGAGTCACATGACTTTGGATGTGCAGGCAGAGTCTATGTAACCATATATCCAGGATGCAAGTTCTGGATGTGAAGCTGAACTAGTAAACTTCCAAGCTTTTTTAGGAATGCATGACTCTAGGACTCACTACGATCCTTATGAACATGAAAAGCCTCAGGTGCACTGAGACATAGGGCAGAATGCACTTGTGATACAAATATGGAGGAGAGGACCAGTACTTGTCTTACTGTCTCAGTTGTTACCTGCCTTTGGTACCACATGCCACATAAATTTCATGAGGCGGGACTTACCCAAAGTCTGCCAGTTGAGTCCTACTGACTGTCCTAAGCAAAGTTGACCTAAATCACCCTTCTGATTTGGCCATATACTTAGTACTACCTCATTGGTTGCAGCAAATGTTAGAGAAACTTGCCTTACTTCAAAAGCAATTAATACTTACTGAGTATCTATCATGTGTCAGCTCTGACATATGTCATCTCCAGTAAACTTCCTAAAACCCAGGGAGATGGGAACGCTATGTCCATTATAAATAGGGGAAAAGGAAGCTCAAAATGGGCCAGAGCTTGTCCAAGTTCCCAGAACTCATAAAGGCAGAATCATAACCTGGACCCAAGACATTTGCCAATAAATATGATACCTTTACAACATATCACAAATGCCTGTTATGAATTCAATAACATTTTGAAGTATCAAGCCCTGAAGTTAAATCCTATGACCCTCTTCTTGGGCATCCAAATATACCCAGTTATCCAGATTCCCCTTCTTTCTTGACTCTATAGGCTACATGCTCAACCAATTACAGGTTCAATCATGTGGGCACTAAGCCAGTTACTCTCTTGGGTGGTCCAGGCTCTGGAACTCTCCCTACTGCCCGGGACCACAGTAGAAAATCTAACGTGCCAAATGAGAGTAAATGAGAATAAACGGTAGAGAAAGCAGCGCTGACTCTAAATCAGGAAATACATGTTCCCTACTGCACACAGCCATGCCACTGAAAAGTCTAGGCAAGTCACTTTTGCTTTGGACCTTATTTTCTCCCGGTAAAATCCAGTAGTGAAATGAACTCA